ACATGAAGCTGTATCTCACACCAAAACACACCCTGGCCCTAGAGACTTGGACAAACTAGGCTCCCCCACTCTTGGGAAAAGATTCAAGGCAGCATTCCAAGCCAAACTGTATCCAGCTTTATTAAAGATACTTTTCATAAACAATCATATTTCAGGCAGGACATGGGCAGACAATCGTTAACAGTATACAACAACTTTCGAACTCCCTTCTTCAATGATTGGACTACCAAAATCAGAAAGCCACTATAAAAACCCAATGAAGTCTTCATTTGATGCTCTCAATAGGGAAAGTTTAGAGTGAGGGTTGACATTTCACATTTAGCATGTTGTTTAACAACTTTTCACAAGCCGACCCTGACTTTCAGGAAGTGAAATGAAAATGGCAGAATTATCAATCTCAAGATTCATGATCTAAAGGAACTGCTACTCTTTTGACAGATGCCATCTCAATGGTGGCACCACAAAGTCCAGATTGCCTGACAAACTGGTAACCAAATTTTGGGGTCAGGTCCCTGGGTTTAAGGGAGTCAAGTCTATGTTGAAGGCAGAGAGGGAGAAGAGGACATAAAAACAAATTTTAGTTTTTCCATACCACAAGGCATTTGTGCCAAGGTGGCTAATATGTGTCAACATCAAGAAATCCCTCCTCATGGGAGCCAAGAGGAAGTCTCTCAAAACTAGAAGGGAAAGGTGTTTTTCCCCTCACATTAATCCAGTTTTGGAGACATTCTGTTAGTGACATATGCCCTTCCCCAAAAAACAACAATGAAGTGTTCTGTGTGCTAACAACATAGCTTAAAAAAAAAAAAAAAGTAAAACAAATTCTGCATTTTTATAAAACTTGATAAAAAATAGTATTTCAAACTGTACAGTCACCAGAAGTACACAGTTATCAAAAATGCACACACTTCACTTGGCATCTCCAGCACCTTCAGCTTTCTGTGCCTAGAAGAAAACAGACAGATTCATACAATGTGTAGATTTTAAAACTATCTTCATTCATATCACACCTATAAAATTACTTTGTTCTCAGGTTTTAAGTAATTCAACACTGAGACTTGATACTTCTTTGAGAAGGACTTGGGAGGTAACTTTACTAATCACTTCCCCTCTGGACCTTTCTGTAAAATTAGGGAAGGAGGCACATCAGCACAAGATCTGAGATTATTCCCAGATGGAAAACTTGATGGTACAGCATGAGAGCGGGATAAGGATTCAAACCACGTGACCCTTCCTGGATGACAGAGACTAAGAACCCAGGTTTTAAGCTAAGAGAAAAAGCACGAGCAAACTCTGGGTCAAAAGGCACAACTGGTGTGATACAGACACAGGATGTCAGTAACAGCATTTGGAATCAGTACAGATTGAGTATGCAGACTTTTTTTTACAAAAAGTGAAATTGCATTTGTACCTGGTCTGTTTTGGCATCTCCATTTTCTGCAGGATTATTCCCATCCTTGCCAGCATCAGCTTTCCCCTTTTTCCCTTTGGGTACCTTCTCTCCCTTCTAAGATGGAGGAGGAGGAGGAGAAAGAAAAAAAGAAAGAACTGTTTTGCCTTATATCACCAGGGTATGGCCTGCAAATTTCAATATAAGAATTGCTTATCAAAGATAAACACGAACTATAAATCTTCCCCCGCTGATTAAAAACAAATGATCAAAACTAGGCCAAATTATGTGTTAATTTGCTGTGGTCTTCAGTACACAAAATTTTCTGTATGTAAATGAAAGCTGAAGACAATTTAAACCCTTCAATGGTTAATACCCAAGTGGAGAATTTTCTGTAAACGAATGACAGCACTCTTGATCAGGAAACCAGTATCACAAATGTCAGACATAAAACAAGCTATTAAAACTATTTAAAATAACCAGAACGAAGTCACCATTAGGCTGAATTAAGATACTGTGAAGATGACCAATTTCAACATTACTCTAAAGCCCAGTCCTATTAACTTAGTCCTTTCTCAACTTTTTGCCACTAGATGAAGTTGTTACACAGATATCCTGTCATCAACAAGGGAAACCGCTCAGCCTTATTATGTAACTCCTCAAAGCAAGTTTGTCCCCCAGTCTTGCTTACCTTTGCAGGGGCCTTTTTAGGCTTGGGCTCTGGCTTTGGAGGAGCAGGTTTCTTTATTTAGTGGAGAGAGAACAGAATTTTAGTACAACCTACCAGAGCGATAACCCACAACCAAACCACAGTACCACTGGCATGAAAGTTTCCCCTCCTACATAAAGTTTTTGTGGCTGGTCTTCTGCTATAATTTCCTATCTTCAAAAACCCATTCAGGTAAGATTCTGAAGTCTCATTTTAACTGCAGCCATCAGAATTTCGGAACCACCATATCTCAAATGAGCAAAAGTTCACAGCAGAGTAGGTCATTCAAAACCAGCCACTGACCATTAGTTCATGGAAAGCAAAGGGGATTGCTTTACAGTGCTTTTCTTAGTTTCAAAGATAAATGTGAAAATGTAAAAGCAGACACACTTACAGCAGATAACCTTGCAGATCTTCTCTGTGGCTATTAAAGAAAAAAAAAGTAAGTTGGAAATAGAACAATTGAACCACTTCAGAAAAAAAAGTCTTGTTGCCAATTTGTTCTAGACTACACGAAGTGAAGAGTGCTTAACTTTCGCAAGTTCAGAAACCAGTGGTATGGCTAATTACTACAAAGGAGGACTAGGCCTCATGATTCCGAAAGAAGGGAGACTAAGACTTACTTCGTCCTTCACCTTGGCTTTATCTCCTTTAGCATCCCCTTCAGCCTATTAAAGAAAAAAGAAACGAAGAACGTTGCCGCTGATTCGCTAAGCTTAGCAGGGTTCTAAGGAAAAACTGAAGGGGAAGTTTTGCACACTTTTCTGGCACACACAAATCTTCAGTTTTAGCACCCTCGGCTCCTATGCAAATATTGCGAGTGCTTAGAAAGGTGTGGGCATGCTCGTGTGTGTAAGCGTTAACGCTGGATCTGGCCCAAAGCGCGCAGGGAGTGAAGTCGTTGGAGCCCCAGTCCGCCGAGCGGCCCCAGTAGGAGCGCGCTAAGCTGGAGCTAGGGGCGCAGCTCGCGCCGGGCCCAAGCAACAGCTGCACACGGTGCAAACCAACCCCTCCAGAGGCGGGGCCCGAGCGCCGTTGCCATGGCAGCCATCGAGGGCGGGAGAGGAGAGGCGCGCGCCGCCGGGGAACTCGTAGGCGGCAGTGGCGCGCACCGGCGCCGAGTCTCGTGCGCAGGGGAGGCGGGGCCACAAGGCGAAGCCCCGCCCCAGAGACGGGCCCCGCCCCCTCACGGCGGCGTTTTGGCGGCAGCGCTTTCCCCCGCCCGCCAACCCCGAGCGCCGCCTTCCCGCCCTTTCGGATTTGAATTGCCCGCCCGCGGGGAGGGGTGGGGGCTTAGAGATGGGGGAGGGGGCGCGGGGCGGGCACGTCGAGCCCGAGAGGAACGGGATAAACAGCCGCCAACATGGCTCCTCCCGCCGCGGCCGCCGCTCCTCCAATATGGCCTCTGGCGCCCGCGGGCAGCAGAGCCGCGCAAGGTTAGCCCGGGGCCGCCTGACACCGTCTCGAGCTCCCGCGCAGGACTGCTGGGCCTGCTCCAGCCCCGTGTCGATTCTCGCACCCCAAAGCTGGGGAAGAGGCGGCGGCAGCAGAGGTGGTGGCGGCGGCAGTGGCGGCCCAGCGCCTGGGGCCCTGGCGCCACGTACCTTTCTCTTAGGCATGGTGGCGACAGCGGCGAGACGTAAACGCTAGATGCGTGGGTGCACCGGCGCGCGGGCTTTGGTCGGTCCGGGGGTCGTTCTCGTCTCTTCTTCACACTGCTCGGGCTCCGGGGGGTTTATAAAGTTTTTATAGCGCTGGGAGCCCCGGACCGGTTAGAACCGGATTTCACCTCCCGCCGCTGCTCATTGGCCCAGCTGGGGTCACGTGGGCGGGGTTTAAACTCACCTCCTCTGGAGGGAGTGAGGAGGGGGGTGTGGGGGGAGGGCTCGCGAGACGGTGGCGCGCTTAGGGGATGGGGGGCGCAGTGGGGGAAGGAGCGCGTTAAAGGAAATAAATGGGAGGGGGTGGCGTGCAAGTCGGCGGGCTCAGGGTTTCAGCTCCCGCCAAGAGCTGGCTCTTGCAAACTACCAAGTTCCTTCCACCTTATGCAACCGAGCTACCCACTTCTCCAAACCATGCGACACTTAGGGCGCATCTCGGCAGCTTTCCTTCCTGTTCCCGCTGGGGGCCCCAGAAGAAGGGTTTGCGAGGCCTGGCCGCACCGCCCTTACCCGCCAGAGGCGGGAGGAAGCGCGCGGCTTGGAGGCACAGGCTGCAGTTCCCTGGGCCAAGACTGACGCTGAAGTGGGGAAAGAGCGGGGAAACCAGCTTGGTGCAGCCGGACGTGCATCCTTCCAAGCTGCCACTCCGAGGAAGCCTTTCGTGGAAAGGCTTCCACACCTTACCTGGAAGGCGGTCCATCCGATGTGGCGTAAGGGTTCGAGGGGGAGACTACACGCAGAGGTGCCTTTCGGGTGCAGTGGGGCAGGTAGGAGCTGTCCTTTCAGCACCCGTTGCTCAGCCGCCTCCCCAAATGCCAACGAAGCCCCCACCCTGCCCAAGCCTGTCTGGTGGCTCCTTTAGGCCTCTTGTATTCCCGGACCTCAGGACCTCGCCACAGAATGATGGAGATTGGCCGCCCAGGTCCACCATCACTCCCTCCTATGCTGCTTCGCTTTGAAGACATCAAGCTCAGCTGCCCCCACCCGGCGCGGCCACCAAGACCGGGCGCTGCAAACGCAGCTGGCAATATTCCTCCTGCCACACTGGCAGGCTGGCTTCCTTTCACTTGCCCGAGGAAAAGGAGGGTAGAGGAACGCGTCCGAGGATTAGGAAACAAGTAGAGGAACAGGTGTGTTGCATGGCAAAAGGGCTCTTCCCGGTGGCATCCCCACCTCACACCCCCACAAAGTTAAGGATCCTGGAGGTGGTCGAGTGCACCTGAGGGAGGGCAGACAATTCCAGCAGCAAAACATGGTATTCTTTTGTTGCACTGTTTGAAAGCAAGTTTTTCACCTAAGAAATCTTTAAAATTCTATTTGACTCCCAGAAGAACACAGTATAAGTATCAAGTGGGGACTTGGTTCATACAGGAGGGAGGACATTTAAATAGGTCCCACCTACTTTGTTGAGGCAAGGGTTGAGCTGATTCGTACAAATCATACTAGTAGAAAACCACCACAATGAATTCGTATCAACTATTTTGCAGCCTCTGCTCCTGGGCAGTTCTGTCAGCTCTTCTTCCACCCCTACAGTGCCTCCTGGGGCAGCCCCTCCCCACCCCACCCCACTCTGTACCTTTCCTAGAATACAGAACCTCAGGCCACAGAGATACCAGCCCTATTAATCACCTCTGCTGTACCCCAGTCACATTAGGGAGTCAGACACAGAATCAAGGCAGGACTCAACAGACATGCTCACAGGGCAGATTCCGTTTGCTGCCTCCAGCCCCTCATTCCCGCCTTAATTGTAGGGCTCTGTATTATAGTCACATAATTCATGCCTCCCTAATTAAGTCTGTCAACAGCCGCACTGTAAAGCTGGAAAATGTACAGCACCTGCTCTCTGGGAACCTTGTGCCAGGGACTTATGGTGGGGAGTGCCAGGTGTGTGTGTGGGACTTGCCAAAGGGTGCACTGATTGGCTTCTCAATCGCAATGTCTGGCATTTATACTTGATTCTGGGTGCAGGGATGCTGGCCAAGGGGTCTAGTGCTAGGTATCCATGCACAGGCAGGGGAAGAGACTGGAGTCTAAGGAAGTTGGGGATTTAGACTATGCTCTTAACACTGCTTGCAAGACGCCACCTTTCCCGTAGAGGGAGATGCTGGGGAAACAGTTTGCACAAAGTAAAATGAGAAGACTAAACCATAGCATTTGGTTGGTATTTGTAGCTGGTGCTGCTGCTCTGGGGCACCTGAAGCAGAGTTGCTCAGGCAGACAGCTCTTCAAAGGCACTAGTTCTCAGCTCTGCAGCAAAGCCTGGCAAGAACAGTTGAGAGGACACAACCCTTGACACGACCCTCTTCTCCCTGCTGGGTAGCTTTGGCCCTCACAAGTTGAGACTTTGCCATGCTGAGAATAAACTGTCTCAGAGTCTCTTTAGGGGACTAGGTCATATGCTTAGAGAAGCCTCAAAGATTGAGGAGGTGGGAAGCAGAGTCTGAGATGGTGAGGGCAGGATACACTAGGTTGGGGGAAGTGCTTGTTTCTGTGCTGTTGGTCCTGATGTGTCCAGGGAAGGTGGCCTGTGCAAGATTAGACTCACCAGGGCCTATAGGCCCTTCTGTTACCCTGTAGCCACAGAGGGGGCCAGACTCATTGGGGAGTGAAGCCTGGCCCCATGCCCTGCAAAAGGAGGAGAAAAGCTTGTGTGGGCTGAGTCGACAATAGGTAATTGGATTGTAATCACCCGCCTGGCTTCTGTGCGCCATTGGGGGCGCTGAGCCTTTCAGTGAGCAATCAGCACTGCATGGTGGGAGGGGGCAGAGATTCAATAGCAAATCCCAGGTGGAGAGCAAAGGGGGAGGAGCAGCAGATGGGCAAATTTTCTTTCTCTCCCTTTCCTTGCCCAAATAACGGGGGCTGGCTATTAGCTATTTACCAGCAGATCCAAGGTGGAGCCAAATCTTTTGTGAAAGTCGGGTGGAAGGCTAACATGGATGGGTAGAGGGCCAGGGTTTTGGGGAGACCTCTTCCCCAAAATTCTGTGTGTTGAAGGATGTGCTAGTAGAAAAAGTGCGTGCATCTGAGAGCACAAGAAGAGGTGGCAAAGGCAGAAGGAGCAGGCAGCACAAGAGCTGGGTCCCTGCTCTCCAGACCTATCGTTGGCCAGTTGGGTGTAGTATACTTGTGGGAGACTCTTAGCCTCAGTCCTCCCCAGGGGTTGCTGCCCCAGGCAGCCCAAAGATAGCTATGCCAGCAGACCTGGCCCCAGAGGCTCCCTCACCAAGCAAAGGGAACACAATCAGGAGGGAGGTGCCTATCACCAAGAAAAGAAAGGGGAGTGGGGCCCTGGAGGCAGAGGGCAGCGCAAAGTGGCAGGAGGCCAGCCTCTTTCAGGCTGATGCAGTGCCCAGACGTGCCAGCCAGTCCGCGCGCTTGAGTTCCAAGGCCTGCAGGAAGCCTTGGACCCGCTCTTCCCGTCTGGCTGAGAGTTTGTGTAAGCGTGTCCGTTGGAGCTGGTCGTCCCCACTGGCCTGGAGCCCCTCTCGCAGCAGCTGCTCTGTCACTGCAGCCTGGTCTCTCTCCAGCTGCTGCCTCTTCCGCTCCTCTGCATACATGTTTCGGGCCTTCTGCTAGAGAAAAGTGGGGATTGGGATGGGGAGATCATTTCAGGTGTGGTGGCACTGGGGTGGAGGTAAGAGGCAGGGCACAGAATAGGCTAAGTGGAGTGGAACAGAAGGGAGTCTGTACCAGATTTGGAAAGGCTTGGGAGTAAGCGTGCAGTGGATGCCTATACAACACTGTATAGGCAGGGCAAAGGCAATTCTAGGCCCACCTGGATTTGTTTTGGGTGGGACCATCTGTACTTCTTAAAATTCTTCTTAGGTTTGCCTTTGGAAGGGAACCAGGTAAATGTTCGTCTGACTTCTGGTTCCCCCACCAACTTTGTGGCTATGGGCAAATCCCCTCCTAGCCTCAGTTCTTCATCTGTAAAGTGGGGGTTGTGTCTACGTTGAAGAGTAGTTTTAAGGTTAAGAGATAATATATGTGAAACCCTCTCTAGCATATGAGCAGGCTCTCAAACAGAAACAGCAATTTTACCATTTGTTACTGCCTGTTCTCTGCTGCAAGCAAGGTCCTATTCCTGCTGGGATTATGTCCATGGAGTCACTACTTTTGGTTTCCCAGGTCACTCAAAGGGTGCCATCGTCCCAACTCCCGAACCTATTTTTCAGTTTGACTCCAGATTTGCCTTCTGTAGGAAGACTGTCCTGACTTTTCCAGCAAGTGATCCTCCCATGAACATTCTGAGAAGCATGTTCAGCTTTCTTAAGCCACTTACTGTGTTCTGCCTGGTAGAATAGGTATTAGGGTCCAAGGTCCACTTTTTCTGTTAGAAAACAAGCCCTTGAAGACTTGATAGAGCCCTCGGAGCTCCTGGAACCAGTTTGGACACCAGGTAGGTGATCAGCTCCCTGACAGTGATTCTCATACGTAGCCATAAACTCCTGGAGGGCAGAGACCAACTTTTCCTCTCTGGTACATGAGCACTCTGTATACCGGGAATACTCACTGAGCATGTGAGCCCAGGAAGGAAGAGGAGATGCTCCTGGAGAAGGGAAAAAACCCCTTTGGAGCCTTGCAGTGCCTCACTAACGTACGGTGCACCACCTGCCACTCTAACCTGCTGCAGTCTTTGCACCAGAGCTCCTCCTGTCAAACCTATTACCATGTGTGAGAAAGTACCTTGATGTTGTCTTCATCCTTTAAAAAGTATTTTACATGTGCACAAGCACTTGACCCTCGTAACAGATCTAGGGAGGTACTTTCTATCCACTGGAAACGGAATGGAGGTTCAGAGTAAGAAGTGATTCTGCTAAGGTTTCTCACCAATAAAGATGACTGCGTGAATAAAGATGACAAGGGAAAATTCTGGAAAATCTCCCTCCTAGGCGCTTGAATGCTGCTAGGCACTCAGGGGTACTCTTTTGCTATGATAAAGTGCTCACATATGGAGGTTTGAGACAAAAATGGGCTTGAGAAGTTAATGCTAAGGCTCTCCATCTGACTGGAAGGGCTTCTTCCTGGCCTTCGTCAGAAGGAACCCTGGGTCCTGTGTACAGGACCTCAATGGGGGTATGGAGATGCAGAGGACAGAGTCTCGGCAATCCACATGCCTGCAGGCTGATTAGGACCCAGATCTGCACACAAAGTCCCGTAACACAGGGCAGAATGTGCTAAGGGTCATTAGGAAGATAAGAGAAGGGCCATGCAGCTCAGAGGAGGGAGAAATTGTGGTTGATGAAGGTCAGGGACCAGTGAAGCCTCATGGATAGGCAGTACTTTAGCTTGGCTTTAACCAGTGGGATAATTTGGATAAAGATGGGAGAATATCAGGCAGTGGGCATAATGGACAAACACACATAAAGTTGATTGTAGTGCTTGATCAGGCCAGAGTGAGTCCTCCTGGAGCACTGGCTTTGAAAAGTCTTATTTAAAGGACTCCCTCACCTCTCAGCCTATTTCTTAATCTGCAAAATGGGGATGTTAGTATCCTCCTTACTTGGTGGTTTGAGGAAAAATGAGATAATGAATGCCCAGTCTGGTGCCTGGCTATTAATGGTTAGCTATTCTTCTGTCACCACTGCTTGTGGCTAGGGCTAAAAAGACTAAGTTCTGGCAAGCCAGAAAGGATGGGGCACCCAGCTATGGAGAGAGGAAATACAGGGCTGGATGAGTCGTTCCATGAGGCTCAGGCTTCTTCCATATGGCAGCTCCAGACTGAGTGCTGGACACAGAGGCTGCAGCCAAGGCAGACATGGCCCCTCTTTGCCAGGAATCAGTCATTCACTGTTAGGATGATGGAGTCAGGGCAGCACCTGAACAGCATCTGTTCAGCCTCCCCTTTGTACAGGCAAGGACATCAAGACCAGGGTGGGAAGGGACTTGGCCCAGGTCACACAGCAGGTTGAAGTTCCCTTGGTTTCTCAACTAAGGTTGCTTCTTGCGAGGTCTATAGGAAATGGGTCTTGTATCCCTGGATAGGCTGTACTTCCTAGGGGCAGACTGGGAAACCAGTGGCCTGCATGTAAATGCCTGTCTGTCTAACCTCCACGTGGTTCGGATCTACCTCCCCATTCAGAAGTGTTCTAAATCTTCTCAGGTACTCAGCCTCCAAAAATTCAGGTTAACAGAAGTCCTAACAGTCAATTTCTCTCTCCTTAACCATACTGTCTATCTCCCTATACAATAACCAATTGGTGAGGGTGTTCCTAATTTTCTTAGAGACTTCCTGTACAGACCTTATGCGGTCTCGGTGCAAGTACTCCATGGACCTCACTCTGAGAAATGGGGCTCTAACCTATTAATCTAAACCTCTCCTTGGCACTAAGCCTCCCTGCTCTTGTTCTCTCCTCAGAAGAATCAGGCAACGAGATGTCATAGCCCCTTCAGTACATAAATCCTCATGTCCTCTGCTACCTTGCTATGGCCTGGAGAGAGGCTGCAGGTCATGGGCTGCAAACATGTCATTAGCCAATGACAGGTCCTCCTGATAATCCCCATTTGCCACAACCAACACGCCAGGTCAGTAGCACAGGAGATGCATTTCTGAGGAATTAGCAGGATGAGTAGGGTGCTACGTGTCTATGGAGACAAAGGTCTGATGAAAAGTCCAGAGACACATGTGGTGAACAACAGTGGCCACCAATCTCAAAATGAACTCTGTTTCAGCACTGCACTCAGTACTTTTTATGTATCAGCTTACTGAACCCTTATCACAAACCTGTGAGATAGGTATTGTTATTAACAACACTCCTCTCATTTTACAGATGAGGAAAATGATATTCAGAAGGGGTAAGTAACTGCCCAGGCAGCCACACAGCTAGTTGGCAGCACCATGCTTCAAAGTCAGGAATGTCTGAGACAACAAACAGTTCAAGCTTTGAACTTCCCCTGAGGAGAACACAGCGACCACTTGAAGAGCAACAGTAATAAAATGGTCCATTGATGCAGCCTGGTGTTTAATCTTCGACAAATACATCAAAGAAGGTTTAGTGGGAACATGTACCCTCTTTCTCTGTAATATCGTCCTTACAGATGAGGTGGACCACACACCAAGACTTATCTCTTTATAGACTGCCATCCACGCCGCTTATAACTAAGGATCAGTGGCTCTGCACTGCTGACCACCCCTTCCCTGACAATTTTCTATGTCCAATTGTCTTGCTACTTCTCATCTTTTATCATGGCCTAAAACCCACCTCAGAGAGGGCTCCCTTCCAGAGGACTGCTCTCAATACCTCTTGCTTTCTTCATTACTTCCTAACACATCAGTCTATTTCCTTCATTGCCTTATTACAATCTGAAATTATCTTATATATTTGTTTAGTTGTTTATCATCTATCCTCAAGTAAGAATATAAGCTCCACGAAGATAGGGATCTCTTGTGCTTAATGCAGTGCCTGACTCACTAGGTACTTGATATGTATTTATTTAATTACTGAAGGTAACTCCTCTGACAACTCCTGCTTGGCAATTCCAAGTAGGAAAATGTCGAGAAACCTGAAATTACTATAAAAGGCTTCTGAGCACCAAATTAGAGACAAGAATACCTATACACAAAAGCCCATACACCAAAATCCCCTGGGGTTCATGCAGAGCCAGTTTACCGTCACTTTACAGATATAATTCTAACAAGCTTGATTGGTTTTCTTGACTATAGCTGATTTAGAACAGTAAATAAGTAGAGAAGGTAAGGAGGATGTTATCAAATTGGCTGGCTACTGGCAATGGCAGGAAATGAGAGGGAGGACACAGAAAAATATACAAGAAATCCCAGAGACAACTATTTTGGTATCATCTAGCTTAGAGCGAACAGTCTGACCTTGGAAGGGCACCTCTGTACAGTGAAGTGCTGACAGACAGCAGTTACCATTATCACTATCATCATCCTAAGAATGGGGTCATTCTAATCATCATCCTTATTAGCAAGTGCCTAGTCTATAGTAGGTGTCAGTGAATTAGGTACAAGGCACATTTTGGAAAGTTTTCCATAAAAAAGGTACCAAAAAGTTTTAGTTCTCAAAGGGAGCTTAGGTCATGTGGAAAAATCTGATATTCATTCCTCACTGAAGGTGGATAATTGAGATTTTGCTGTTTTCCTTTCACTTAAACTTAATATGCTCTTTCAATTTCCTCATATTCTGAGACTAAATGATCAAGCACATGACCAACCCTTCATTATCTGATTTACTTACTCCAGGAGTTCTAGACTTGGGATTTGTGGACAGGTTTCAGGGGTCACGTGAGCCCGCTGGAAGTAGGCTATGTATTTCAGTGATAAGTACAATTCTGTGCAAAATGCCATGTGCTAGCGTGATCTGTGCACTTTTTCCAGGGAGATAGCCTATGGCATTCTCCAAGGGGCCCTTGATGCCAAAGGGTCTGAGAAGCCCTGACTTATACATTATTTCCTTCTGGTCATTATTTTTCCAGACTCAAGAAGCAGCACCAGCTTTGGGTGTAAAATTCTGTGGCTCTGGGACAGTTACTCTGCCCCTCTGTTTCCATAGCTGAAAAACAAGGACACCAAACCTACTGGATTGTTGGAAGGGCTCCTGCTGGACTGTTGGAAGGGCTAAGTAAGAAAACTTGCATGAAAACACCTAAGTGCCTCATTAGACCCTCTATATGTAAACTGTCACCACCACACATACCACCATTATTATTATTAAGAGTTCTAATCAGATGCAGGTTGACTGCCCCGTAATGAACTCTATTTCAAGATCTGGTGAACAAAACTGGAAGTAAAAAGTCTTGGCAAAACATAGTTTTATACAACAGACGGTGCTTTTTTGTACTTAACCCCTTCTGGAAGAGGCTTGGATTTTGTATACTTCCACTTCAACAATCGTTTATTAGGCTAACACCTTCAGGGAATAATGGCCAATCTCTCTGAGAAGCCTTTCCTGGGTTTCCATAATAAAGAGATTAAAGATGTAACTTGAATCCCATTTCTGTCTCTTACTGGTGTCTTTAACTAGTAATTTTGATTTATTCGTTTGCACAAGTGGGGCTAATAGTACCTACCTCGTTGAGTTGTTTTTTTTTTTTACCTACCTACTTGAGTTTTTGAGGAGCATTAAATGAGATGGTGCACATAAAATGTTCACAGTGCTTGGTATACAGTAAATAGTAAGTGGTAGCTGCTATCATCATTAACATGCTTATGAGCAAGTGCTTGGCATACATAGTAGGTGGTCAATCAATGCTAACCTTGTCTGGTGCCTGGCTATTAATGGTTAGCTATTCTTCTGTCACCACTGCTTGTGGCTAGGGCTAAAAAGACTAAGTTCTGGCAAGCCAGAAAGGATGGGGCACCCAGCTATGGAGAGAGGAAATACAGGGCTGGATGAGTCGTTCCATGAGGCTCAGGCTTCTTCCATATGGCAGCTCCAGACTGAGTGCTGGACACAGAGGCTGCAGCCAAGGCAGACATGGCCCCTCTTTGCCAGGAATCAGTCATTCACTGTTAGGATGATGGAGTCAGGGCAGCACCTGAACAGCATCTGTTCAGCCTCCCCTTTGTACAGGCAAGGACATCAAGACCAGGGTGGGAAGGGACTTGGCCCAGGTCACACAGCAGGTTGAAGTTCCCTTGGTTTCTCAACTAAGGTTGCTTCTTGCGAGGTCTATAGGAAATGGGTCTTGTATCCCTGGATAGGCTGTACTTCCTAGGGGCAGACTGGGAAACCAGTGGCCTGCATGTAAATGCCTGTCTGTCTAACCTCCACGTGGTTCGGATCTACCTCCCCATTCAGAAGTGTTCTAAATCTTCTCAGGTACTCAGCCTCCAAAAATTCAGGTTAACAGAAGTCCTAACAGTCAATTTCTCTCTCCTTAACCATACTGTCTATCTCCCTATACAATAACCAATTGGTGAGGGTGTTCCTAATTTTCTTAGAGACTTCCTGTACAGACCTTATGCGGTCTCGGTGCAAGTACTCCATGGACCTCACTCTGAGAAATGGGGCTCTAACCTATTAATCTAAACCTCTCCTTGGCACTAAGCCTCCCTGCTCTTGTTCTCTCCTCAGAAGAATCAGGCAACGAGATGTCATAGCCCCTTCAGTACATAAATCCTCATGTCCTCTGCTACCTTGCTATGGCCTGGAGAGAGGCTGCAGGTCATGGGCTGCAAACATGTCATTAGCCAATGACAGGTCCTCCTGATAATCCCCATTTGCCACAACCAACACGCCAGGTCAGTAGCACAGGAGATGCATTTCTGAGGAATTAGCAGGATGAGTAGGGTGCTACGTGTCTATGGAGACAAAGGTCTGATGAAAAGTCCAGAGACACATGTGGTGAACAACAGTGGCCACCAATCTCAAAATGAACTCTGTTTCAGCACTGCACTCAGTACTTTTTATGTATCAGCTTACTGAACCCTTATCACAAACCTGTGAGATAGGTATTGTTATTAACAACACTCCTCTCATTTTACAGATGAGGAAAATGATATTCAGAAGGGGTAAGTAACTGCCCAGGCAGCCACACAGCTAGTTGGCAGCACCATGCTTCAAAGTCAGGAATGTCTGAGACAACAAACAGTTCAAGCTTTGAACTTCCCCTGAGGAGAACACAGCGACCACTTGAAGAGCAACAGTAATAAAATGGTCCATTGATGCAGCCTGGTGTTTAATCTTCGACAAATACATCAAAGAAGGTTTAGTGGGAACATGTACCCTCTTTCTCTGTAATATCGTCCTTACAGATGAGGTGGACCACACACCAAGACTTATCTCTTTATAGACTGCCATCCACGCCGCTTATAACTAAGGATCAGTGGCTCTGCACTGCTGACCACCCCTTCCCTGACAATTTTCTATGTCCAATTGTCTTGCTACTTCTCATCTTTTATCATGGCCTAAAACCCACCTCAGAGAGGGCTCCCTTCCAGAGGACTGCTCTCAATACCTCTTGCTTTCTTCATTACTTCCTAACACATCAGTCTATTTCCTTCATTGCCTTATTACAATCTGAAATTATCTTATATATTTGTTTAGTTGTTTATCATCTATCCTCAAGTAAGAATATAAGCTCCACGAAGATAGGGATCTCTTGTGCTTAATGCAGTGCCTGACTCACTAGGTACTTGATATGTATTTATTTAATTACTGAAGGTAACTCCTCTGACAACTCCTGCTTGGCAATTCCAAGTAGGAAAATGTCGAGAAACCTGAAATTACTATAAAAGGCTTCTGAGCACCAAATTAGAGACAAGAATACCTATACACAAAAGCCCATACACCAAAATCCCCTGGGGTTCATGCAGAGCCAGTTTACCGTCACTTTACAGATATAATTCTAACAAGCTTGATTGGTTTTCTTGACTATAGCTGATTTAGAACAGTAAATAAGTAGAGAAGGTAAGGAGGATGTTATCAAATTGGCTGGCTACTGGCAATGGCAGGAAATGAGAGGGAGGACACAGAAAAATATACAAGAAATCCCAGAGACAACTATTTTGGTATCATCTAGCTTAGAGCGAACAGTCTGACCTTGGAAGGGCACCTCTGTACAGTGAAGTGCTGACAGACAGCAGTTACCATTATCACTATCATCATCCTAAGAATGGGGTCATTCTAATCATCATCCTTATTAGCAAGTGCCTAGTCTATAGTAGGTGTCAGTGAATTAGGTACAAGGCACATTTTGGAAAGTTTTCCATAAAAAAGGTACCAAAAAGTTTTAGTTCTCAAAGGGAGCTTAGGTCATGTGGAAAAATCTGATATTCATTCCTCACTGAAGGTGGATAATTGAGATTTTGCTGTTTTCCTTTCACTTAAACTTAATATGCTCTTTCAATTTCCTCATATTCTGAGACTAAATGATCAAGCACATGACCAACCCTTCATTATCTGATTTACTTACTCCAGGAGTTCTAGACTTGGGATTTGTGGACAGGTTTCAGGGGTCACGTGAGCCCGCTGGAAATAGGCTATGTATTTCAGTGATAAGTACAATTCTGTGCAAAATGCCATGTGCTAGCGTGATCTGTGCACTTTTTCCAGGGAGATAGCCTATGGCATTCTCCAAGGGGCCCTTGATGCCAAAGGGTCTGAGAAGCCCTGACTTATACATTATTTCCTTCTGGTCATTATTTTTCCAGACTCAAGAAGCAGCACCAGCTTTGGGTGTAAAATTCTGTGGCTCTGGGACAGTTACTCTGCCCCTCTGTTTCCATAGCTGAAAAACAAGGACACCAAACCTACTGGATTGTTGGAAGGGCTCCTGCTGGACTGTTGGAAGGGCTAAGTAAGAAAACTTGCATGAAAACACCTAAGTGCCTCATTAGACCCTCTATATGTAAACTGTCACCACCACACATACCACCATTATTATTATTAAGAGTTCTAATCAGATGCAGGTTGACTGCCCCGTAATGAACTCTATTTCAAGATCTGGTGAACAAAACTGGAAGTAAAAAGTCTTGGCAAAACATAGTTTTATACAACAGACGGTGCTTTTTTGTACTTAACCCCTTCTGGAAGAGGCTTGGATTTTGTATACTTCCACTTCAACAATCGTTTATTAGGCTAACACCTTCAGGGAATAATGGCCAATCTCTCTGAGAAGCCTTTCCTGGGTTTCCATAATAAAGAGATTAAAGATGTAACTTGAATCCCATTTCTGTCTCTTACTGGTGTCTTTAACTAGTAATTTTGATTTATTCGTTTGCACAAGTGGGGCTAATAGTACCTACCTCGTTGAGTTGTTTTTTTTTTTTACCTACCTACTTGAGTTTTTGAGGAGCATTAAATGAGATGGTGCACATAAAATGTTCACAGTGCTTGGTATACAGTAAATAGTAAGTGGTAGCTGCTATCATCATTAACATGCTTATGAGCAAGTGCTTGGCATACATAGTAGGTGGTCAATCAATGCTAACCTTTTCTCGTGCCACATCCAGTCAGGCCAGCCCTGAGTTCTTACCTCGAGCATGTTATGGTTCATCTGGAACTGAAAGATGGCCTCACAGAGGTTCCAAAACGTGTATTCTGGCCACAGAATGGGTTGAAACACCAGGCAGGAGTGGGAGGTCTGGGAAAAGATGGGGAAAGGAAGAGAGCATGGCTTAGTAATATGTTGCTGGAACACAGCCCTGGTCAGACTTCCAAAGAAAAGAGCAGACCAAGCTTGACCCAGAAGCCCAGAGAGGAGATGGCACAGGAACCCCTGAGCTGCAGCTGCTGGTGCCGCCAGCCCTGTTCACTCACTAGTAGGGGGAGGGGTCATCTGAGGCAGTTAGGTCACCTGCCTGTAGCAACGCAAAACGAATGGGAGACTTTACCAACATTTCCACCAGGATTTTCTAAAAGCCAATTTTAGGACAATGAAATAAAATCTGGATTATGTTATTGGCTTTTGGCCCTCAGAGGTCATCTGGAAGATATGCTGCCTAATAAAAGTCAGCAGTGAGCAAATGGTAGTTACCATTGTTATTTTTAAGTATGGCACAGTAGTTAAGAGCATGCGCTGTTACAAAAAAGAGCATGGGCTCTGGGACTGGACTGCCTGGCTTTGAATTCTGGCTCCACCATTTACTATCTATTTGACCTGAGACAAGTTACTAATATCTCTGGGTCTCAGTTTCCTCAACTGTAAAATAGGGTAATATGGAAACCTAATTTTTAGGATACTATGAAAATTAAAAAAGATAATGCACATAAAGCAGTCAGAGCACAGAGCTTTAATAATAATAACCACTTATGTTAAGAATCCCTTTTGGAACACTCTAGATAGCCCCTGTTTGATACTTTTAGTGGTGAGAAATTCAGTGCCTCAGGGAGGATGACTAGCTGTTGGACAACTTGTTATACTAAACCAGTGCCATCCTTCCTGAATTTCTACCAGGGTCTCAGGTTTTTTCTTTGGAGCAAGATAGTTTCTTCTTCAAAATGATATTCTTTCAAATATTTGAAGGCTAGATTAGAGCTGCTTGTTATCTGTTCCCAAGGTTGCAATGACTTAATCGTTTTGTCTTTGCCAACAAACTCTAAGTGTGAAGACAGTAGGGATTACTTCTGACTTGATCTCTGCTATATTCCTAGCACAAAGAAGGAACTCAGTGTTTTTTCCCAAGGGAATAAACTGTCACCATACTTCCTTTTTCCAAACCATTATCTTTCACTCGTTCCTTATAGGACATGAATTCCAGATTCCTTGCCATTCTTGGCCTCTTCTGGTAAAATCCTCTATTTTACCATTGTAGTCACTTAAACTTTCCAGACCTGATCTGACCAGCAGTGTGGGCCACAGAAATTGTAACTGCATGTTACACTTCTTGCAGTATAGCCAAAGACTGAAAGCATCTTCAGTGGCTAAATCTTTGTTAGTTCACTTTTAAAACGATGGGCCATTAAAATTTCTGGAACTTTATCATGTCAGTTGTTTCCAAGCTGAGTCTCTCCTGCCAACCTCTCTCTGAACAAGGACTTCCCCCAGTCATGTGCTACCCAGGGGTCAAATTAACAGATAATACAGATTTTCTTTTTCAAACAAAGACAAACTTATTTGGATATGAGCTTTTAGGAGACAACATACACTTGGGTAAACTGAGCTGAGAGGCAATAGCAGGCCCTCAAGAAAGAATCCGCATGTAGTTTATATCCCTTGTGGACTGTGCTTATATCAGTGCATCCCTTTATTCTGATGGGAAGAGACTAATTAAGACAAGATCTAGCCCAGGGGTGTTGGGGTACCTGGCAGGTTGCCAGGGCAGGAGCATATGCTCAGGTAAATAAGGCAAAAGTCCAGTTCCTTGAATAGGAGCACAAGTGAGGTTTTCACCACAGCTGAACAGTCACTACAGTTTTTTATCACAGCTGTATTTTTCCTCTTGGCATTTTAGAGAGGAAGAACCATGGGCTGGCAGAGCCAGAGCCAGATAAGGAAGGGACAGCAAATGTTACCAGGCATAGAAAAGGGTCTGGAGACACTTCTCCAGATTTCAGCTCCTCTCACTCGAGTTCTCTGGTGCCAGCACAGCCGAGGGTGCAAATAAGCCCCTCTAATCCATTCTGTGGGCACAGTCACAGTTTTCACGCTGACACAGAATAGTGGCTGGAAACTACCTACCTGCCAGAGGAGGAAGTCACTGAGCCTCACTTCCCCAGAAGTCCGTATCAAGATGTCAGGAGGAAGAGACTGGTTGGTATAGAGGCACTTATCAAGCAGAGACTCAGAGACATCGCTACGGTGAGTGGGGAAGAGACAAAGATAAGTACATATCTCTTTTCAGATTATTATTATGGTGAACTTCCATATACAAGGCTTCCCCAGCTTATAGAACACCATCAATTATATTAGTCAAAAGTACCTGGTAGGCAGAAAGCCCTCAACAAATGCCTGATAAATTAATTAATGATTTTAATCCTCACAACAACAATGTATTCCTATCTTCATTTTATAGATAAGGAAACTTGACACTTGACAAGATGAATAATTTGCCCAAAATCATTTAGCTGTAGGCCTAAAACCAGGTGTACCCACTAGACTATGTATTGTCTTTTAATTAAAATATCCTGTATTTTCTGACCCTGTAATTTAATGAAATACTATGTTATTGTTTTTAATAAAGATAAATCTAAATGCATTGATTTAGAAAGATGTCTAAGATCTAAATTTAAAAAAGCAAGTTTCAGAAAATATACAGTGTGGAAAACATGCACACATACACTCAAATATTCACACATGTGAATATATGTATATATAAACAAAGAACAAAGTCTAGGAAGACATACACCATACTACTACTAGTGATTACCTCTGAAATAAGGAAAGACTATCTCTGCTTACTTTGTGTACTTATGTTATTGATTGAATTTATTATAAAGAACATTTCAAAGACCTTACTTAAGTCATATGGAACATAAACTACTGAAAAAAATGCACACTCCTTAGGATTTTTTAAAAAAGCAAAACGATCACTTCTGTGTTTGATGAGTTACTTTTCTAAGCAAACACTGAGAAAGGAGATGGAATGGAGGAAGAATGGGGACTGGCAGCATTTAACTGAAGTAAACTTTTCTTCTTTCCTCTTTCCATGGAAAGGGGATATTTGCAAGGCAGGTGTCATTTGATTAAGAGAACACTGTTTACCAGTCCTACCAAGTATCCAGAGGCAGAATTTGGAATCTACAAGTGATAAAAGTTACATCTTGGAAAGGGTCCAGAAGACAAACTTTCTTGGTGGGAATATTCTTCTGGGAGTAAAAAAGCAGAGCAATTTGGACTGAGTTTCAACTGTGTCTGCAAAAAGGGTTTTCTACCAACTTCAAGCAGTGGGTGGAATTCTTATCTTAAAAAAGGAGGTAACTCTAAAGGGGAAAAGATAAAACTAACAAAATGAAAATAGAACATCTGTGCTTTGGCCAATAAAAACCCATTAAATGGCATTAGCTATCTACATGAGGACTTTTAAGAAATAATTTTTATTAAATAAAAGTAAAATACCAATTTTTACCTATAAAATTAGAATAGTTTATATTTTCTCTAAAAAATCTTGTAAGAATCAGGTGAAATGGACACATTCAGCCCTAGATCCTGAGGAAACAATCCAGAATGTAGGCAAGAGTTAAATTCATGTATTTCACTGTAGCATTATTTATAATAAGGAGAAAGTAAGAACAGTTCACATAACCAACAAATAGCAGAATGGTTAAGTAAATTAAGGCAAGATATATTCAGAAGCCATTAAAAATAATGAAGAATTATTAAAAATAGGGGATATAGAAAAATGCTCATATTGTAAACACCAAGTGAACAAAAACATGATTCAGGATATAAATTGTTTCATAGTGTGATTTCTTCTGCTATAAATATTTATGTCATAATTTGATTTGTGTTTTAAAAGGATGATTTTGGCTGAATGCCCAACTACAGCTGATCATTACTTTTTTCACACTAGGTCTTGCTAACACATCCATTACAGTGGCATAGAGCACCATGGATTACTTCTTTGTCTACAGGAGCCAGATTGTGAGTCCCTTGAGGGCAAGCCCCTTGACACATTTATCTTTGTACTCCTGTTCCTCTAGCACAGGACCTTTCTGGGACAGAAAGACTTAACATGTGTTCAAGTAAACGAATGAATGAACTGAAAACAGATTTCAGAAATACATACATACTGGTTTTCTGAATGTGAGGAGTTTATAGGCTAAAAACGTCTTTCACAATGTACTTTCAAAAAACCTAGAACCCAAGCATAGGTAATAGACATTGTCACAACCTGATGGGGAAAATCAACACAGTTAATTAGACATACACACACATAGACATAGATACACAGGAAGACCTAGAAGGAAATAAAATCAAAATGTTGCCACAGGTGTTGCTGAGGATGGGATCCTGGGAGATTTAAATCTTTATCTTTATACATCCAATAGTTTGTAGATTTTCTCTAATGAACATGTAGGACCTTTATAAGAATATGTATATATTAGAGTGAGGTTATATTCTTAAGAAGTATTTCTGTGTGGGATAATGAAAAAGTCCTGGAAATGGTGTTGTTAATTACACACTTTATGCCACAGAATTATACACTTAAAAATGGTTAAAGTAGTAAAATGTATGTATATCTTACCACAATTTTTTAAAAAGTAGCATGTTTTCAGGAAGGAAAGGGGCACAAGTATTCAAGATAATGACTCCTCCCTAATAAACTATGTATTTCTGGAAATGGCCAACCAAAAATAAAATCAATTTAAAACCTATAATGAATATATAGCAACAGCCTCTGAAAGGCACTGGTAATGCTGAATACCAACAATAGGGTGAACGGCCTGGCATCACAAAAAAAGGAAGAGTAAAAACATATTAGTATGTTCCCAGTACCATTTTGGAAAAGCAGACTCTTTCTAGAAGGTAGAGAGATCAAAAGAAATATGCCCTGTGATAACAGGAGAGTACATTTCTCAGTGTTGATAAAGATGGCAAAGACCATGAACTCTGGAGGTAGATGGACCTAAGCTGGAGTCCAGGCTCTTCAATTTTGTAACATGTGCCTTTGAGCAGGTCAAGTAATCTTTTTAAACTTTTGTTAATTGGTCTTATAAAACGGGGCAAATAATAGTCAGTACTTTTTTTTTTTTTTTGAGAGGGCATCTCTCATATTTATTGATCAAATGGTTGTTAACAACAATAAAATTCTGTATAGGGGAGTCAACGCTCAATGCACAATCATTAATCCATCTCAAGCCTAATTCTCGTCAGTCTCCAATCTTCTGAAGCATAACGAACAAGTTCTTACATGGTGAACAAATTCTTACATATTGAATAAGTTCTTACATGGTGAACAGTACAAGGGCAGTCATCACAGGAACTTTCGGTTTTGATCACGCATTATGAACTATAAACAATCAGGTCAAATATGAATATTCGTTTGATTTTTATACTTGATTTATATGTGGATCCCACATTTCTCCCTTTATTATTATTATTATTTTTATTTTTAATAAAATGCTGAAGTGGTAGGTAGATGCAAGATAAAGGTAGAAAACATAGTTTAGTGTTGTAAGAGAGCAATTGTAGATGATCAGGTGTGTGCCTGTAGACTATGTGCTAATCCGAGCTAGACAAGGGCAATAAAACATCCACGGATGCAGATTTCTCTCAAAACAGGGGGGGTGAGGTTCTAAACTTCACCACTGTTGATCCTCAATTTCTCACCTGATGGCCCCCCTGCGACTGTGCCTATCTTAGGTTGTTCCTCCCTTGAGGAATCTTACCTATCTCTGGCTAACCAGTCATCTTCCGGGGTCATACAGGGAGATGTAAAGTTGGTAAGTGAGAGAGAAGCCATATTGTTTGAAAAGGTTAGCTTTTTACTTCTTTGCAGATTTATGCCCTGTGGCTTCTATGCCCAGCATTTGTCTTGAGGTGTCTTTACCACTTGGAGGAATTATGATACTCGGTAAATTCGATATGAGGCACGAATTCTATTTAAGGGTTGTAATTAGGAAGGAATAGTCAGTACTTTATATGAAAATTAAATGAGAATATTTGTGATAAACTCAGCCTCATACTCCAGTAAGATCCAATAAATATTACTAATTAACTTTTATTTTTATACTGCACTGTTGTTCACTTCAACCTTCCTATGGCAGTCAGCATACCATAGTGACTGAGAGCACAGCTGTGGAGCCAGGTTAAAATCCTAGCCCAAAACTTTGCCAACTACATGAACTTAGATAAATTACTTAACTTCTTGGTGTCTCAATATGTTCACCATTAAAATGGGGATAAAAATAGTATCTATCTCTGAAAATCCATCGACATAAACCCCCACATCAAAAATAAGGACAAAACCATATGATCATTTCCACAGATGCTGAAAAAGCATTCGACAAAATTCAACACCCATTCATGATTCATGATAAAAACTCTCAACAAAATGGGTACAGAGGACAAGTACCTCAACATAATAAAGGCCTTATATGACAAACCCACAGCGAACATCATACTTGACAGCGAGAAGCTGAAATCTTTTCCTCTAAGATCAGGAACAAGACAAGGATGCCCACTCTCCCCACTTTTATTCAACATAGTACTAGAGGTCTTACCCATAGCAATCAGACAACACAAATAAATAAAAGGCATCCAGATTAGTAAGGAAGAAGTAAAACTGGCACTGTTTGCAGATGACATGATATTGTACATAAAAAAACCTAAAGACTCCACTCCAAAACTACTAAATCTAATATCTGAATTCAGCAAAGTTGCAGGATACAAAATTAATACACAGAAATCTGTGGCTTTCCTATACACTAACAAGGAACTAGAAGAAAGAGAAATCAGGAAAACAATTCCATTCACAGTTGCATCAAAAAGAATAAAATACCTAGGAATAAATCTAACCAAGGAAGTGAAAGAGCTATACCCTGAAAACTATAAGACACTCTTAAGAGAAATTAAACAGGACACTAATAAATGGAAATTCATCCCGTGCTCTTGGGTAGGAAGAATTAATATTCTCAAAATGGCCTCCCTGCCTAAAGCAATCTACAGATTCAATGCAATTCCCATCAAAATACCAACAGCATTCTTCAATGAACTGGAACAAATAGTTCTAAAATTCATATGGAACCACAAAAGACCCCAAATAGCCAAAGCAATCCTAAGAAGGAAGAAAAAAGCAGGGGGGATCTTACATCCCAACTTCAATCTCTACTACAAAGCCACAGTAATCAATAC